TTGCCTCCAGGGGCGTTTACCGGGCTGCCCGCTCCGTTCCTGATAGGCACAGGAGCGGGGAGGGCAGCAGGGGCGAGCACAAAAGGTATCTCTGCCGCCATCCAGCCTCTGTCATAGAATCGTTGAATCTTTGGGTTGGGAGGGACTTTTTAAGGTCATCTAGTCCAACCACCCTGCAATGAGCAGAGACATCTTCAATGAGATCAGGTTGCTCAGAGCCCCGTCCAACCTGACCCCGAATGTTTCCAGGGACGGGGCATCCACCACCGCTTTGGGCAACCTGTGCCAGGGTTTCACCACCCTTATTGTCAAAAATGTCTTCCTTCTATCTAGTCTAAATCTGCCTTCTTTTAGTTTAAAACCATTACCCCTTGGTCTATGACTATAGGCCCTGCTAAAAAGTCTGTCCCCATCTTCTAAGCCCCCTTGAGGTACTGGAAGGCTGCAGTAAGGTCTCCCTGGAGCATTCTTGTCCCCAGGCTGAACAAACCCAACTCTCTCAGCCTGTCCTCATAGCAGAGGTGCTCCATTCCACTGATGATTTTTGTGGCCTCCTCTGGGCCCTCTGTCACTAAATTCCCACCTTGTCACCCTTGTTTTTTGCTGCCTGGGATGCCTTGAAGTCTTTATTGCTCTATATGGTCTATATTACCTGTGACTGATGCATATGGGGTTTTACTGTTGAGCTGATAGGAGGGAAGCTGTAATGAAGTCCAGGTGTCATGTCCGGAAACAGCTGTACTGAGAGCAGTGGAAACTGTCCTGGTGAAAACAAGGTCTTTAACAAGCTTAACTTGCGTGAGAAAAACTGGATCCCTTTCTAGACTTGTATATCAGAATGATTGCATCTGCATTTTCAGGAGTGCGTTAAAAGGGACAAGTGTATCTCTACTACGCACACAAATGGATGCCAAAGCTTAAAATATTGTAATACAAGAACAATGTTTTCCACTTTTTTGCTTGCTTCTGTCTATTTTTCTTCATGGGTCAATGGTAGAGCTGAGAAGCTCTTTCATATTTGCTTTTTCATCTTTTCCCCTGCAACGTGCTGAGCTAGCTGCCTGTACATCTATTCCTGTTTGACTTGAACATAGAGAATGCAAGCAATGTGGCTTTCAAGTCCACTGCAGCTGTTAATGTAGTTCCCACTAAAAGAGGTTTATGGAAGTAATTTAACAAAGTTTTATGCTTAATGAGAACATCTGAACAGAGAAGGTGTTTGTACATCACAGGTGGAAGAATATAGCCTGTACACCTATTCCTGTTTGACTTGAATGCAAGAGAATGCAAGCAATGTGGCTTTCAAGTCCACTGCAGCTGTTAATGTAGTTCCCACTAAAAGAGGTTTATGGAAGTAATTTAACAAAGTTTTATGCTTAATGAGAACATCTGAACAGAGAAGGTGTTTGTACATCACAGGTGGAAGAATATACCTATTCATAACTACTAAAGCCATTCTTATAAAGATATTTTTTTGTTTATCAGAAAAACTTTTTTTTTGTTTTTTTTGTTTATCTTGATCTGTAAGTCCTCAGTTGTGGCAGTAGGTGTGGATGTTTGGAAAAATGATTGCAGAGTTACCAATTACTAACTTCATAGATCGTTCATATAGTAGAGTATAGTAGACAGTTGCACCTATTTTTATTTAACTGTGTTTTGAGAAATGGTAAATAGTGTTTGTTTCTAGTAACATATGAAAGGGATTTACATGTCTCCAAGCCATGAGGAGGACTTAGGTGTGGTGGCATGAGACTGTGGTTCTATTAACTGCGTTAAGGGGGCACGTTTCTGACAAGTATCCCTTCTCTTGTGCTGCCATTAATATTCTTGAAGTTGTATGGTAAGTTGACTAAAGAACTCGTTAGTCTGAGAAACATTTGTGTTGTTTCATTTCCTTTTCTTGAGTGGTCACTCTAGTACTCATGTAGGTACCGAGGGGGGTGAAAAATGTGTCAGTCAAGGCTGAGTGAAGTGTGAGAACTCCCTTTAGCAGGTATGCTAATTTAAAGTGATTGTGGAACCACAGTCCTCATCTGCCCAGATAGTCAGAATTTCTAAGCATCACAGAATGCTGCTTGTCACCTTCAGTAAATGGTATTGGCTCTTTTAAACTTGGTATTTCTTGCCTATTTACATCATTTTCAAGATAATTCCCATTTTGAATTGCAGTAAAGAAATTTTTCCTAATATCTAGTCTAACCCCGCCTTGGCAACTTGAGGCCATTTCCTCCTGTTGCGAGTTACTTGGGACAAGAGACCAACACTCATATTACTACAACCTCCTTTCAGGTAATTGTAGAGAGCGATAAGGTCTCCCCTCAGCCTCCTCTTCTCCAGACTAAACAACCTCAGTTCCCTCAGCCGTTCCTCATAAGAGTTGTGCTCCAGACCCCTCACCAGCTTCGTTGCCCTTCTCTGGACACGCTCCAGCACCTCAATGTCCTTCTTGTACTGAGTGCGGCCTCACCAGTGTCGTGTACAAGGGCACAGTCATTTCCCTACTCCTGCTGGCCACACTAGTTCTGATACAGGCCAGGATGCTGTTGGCCTTCTTGGCCACCTGGGCATACTACTGTTAACCAGCACTTCCAGGTCCTTTTCCACCGGGCAGCTCTCCAGCCACTCCTCCCCAAGCCTGTAGCGTTGCATGGGGTTGTTGTGGCCCAAGTGCAGGACCCTGCACTTGGCCTTGTTAAACCTCATACAGTTGACCTCGGCCCATTGATCCAGCCTGTCCAGATCCCTCTGCAGAGCCCTCCTACCCTCCAGCAGATCAACACTCCATCAGTCCTCTGATGAACACATAAAGTCATGTTAAATTCAAGACACTGACAAAACTGGCATAGATTTCTTAAGCTGGAACCCCAAATTAGCTTTAATTTTAGTTTTTGCTAGTGTTCTCATTCACCTGTATTGAATTTCCCAAGATGAATTTTTTTGCGGGGAGTGAAAATAACAGATACTTATAAAGGACACATGCAAGGAACTGACAGTGCAAGCTGTCTGTATTCAGTGTAGTGATGTGATTGTATATGATGCACTGTTTGGGAACCCTGAAACAATATGACAACAATAAAAGGAATTACTGAGTAGTTGATCAGTGAAAACAGTGAATGAGGTTGTGGAGGAGGTTGTAGGGGAGGACTTGTGGAATTGTTTGTGTAAATACAGGCAGGCTGAACTTTTCTTTTTTTCCAGTAGACAAGTAACTTCTAGCTGTCTAGCTTCTGACATGTATCGAATGTATCACTTGATTCTGTGGGGTTTTTTTATTGCCGTCTAATGTTTTGAGATTTCCCCCACACCCCATAAGCTTGCTGGATGTGCGACAGAATCCAAAACTAAGTGGGTGTCTTGTCAGTGAGGAATTTACTTAAGTTTTGTTTCTGGAATGCTCTAGCGAAGAAGAACTTGAAGTTGTTTTCCCAAATGGAGATGAATTAAAAAAGAAATATAGCAGATCTGGTAGCATTGCTGTTGCTGAGGTGATAGGAATGTTATTATAAAAAGTAAAATTCAGGTCTTCAGAGTATAATAGTAAATCATCTTTGTGAAGGGTTTAAGATGTGTGGAATAGGAGCCTGTATTTTAGGCTCAGGAGTGGACACTAAGAATATTCCAAAAGATTCTGAAGAAGTAGAAGCCATTTTTGGAAGTGTTTTTACTGGGAACTTTTCTTAATCCAAAAACTTCAATAAGCTCTGCTTTTAACCTCCCTAGGAAATTGCAGCTCTCCTGGAGGTACTATGATAGCTGTAAGAAAGAATTTATACTCTCACCTATTTTACTGTAGTGCCTTGTTATTTCCTGGCTGATCAATCTGAGTTTGGAACATTATCTGTTAGTACAGCTCTGTTGGCTTCTTACATACTGTGAGATGACAGCCTGATTATCTGAAAGACTGTTTCTGGATTGCAGACTTTGTATAGAAAACTGATAATCTTTACTTCAATAACTTAAATTTGGGAGCCCAAATTTTTTTTTTTCTTAATGTGGACATACTCCATAATTTTGATAAATTTGTGTGTCTTTCAGTGTTTGCTGCTCTGTAACTTGGAGTGAGAACTCCGAATATTTCAGATAACAAGTAATGATCTGTTCTATGTATTCTATACTGAAAAGAATAGGAAATTCATTCATCACCTGCTTTAATGCTCGTTTTGTGGTGCTCTAATTTTCGCTATGAAAAGTACAAGCATCACTGCTTATTTTGAAGATTTGTGTGTGATGCCTTCTTTATTGGTTATCTTCCTTGTCTTCTCAGTCTAATACCTCTTTCCTACTTTCTTACTGGCAAATAATTTTACCTTTTCTTATAGCTGAAAATACACATTCTAGGTTGTTTTTGTATTTCTTTTTTCTGTGTTTGGAGAGTGCTTTCATTTATACCGTAAGCATAGTTGTTCCCCTCCTCCTTAAGTAGGGCAGGACTGCTGGAAAGGCTATGTGACATAGTATGGAGTAGAGGTGGTGATCTGAGTGTCTTTGTTATCTAGTACAAATTGACAATAAGAAATTTTTCTGTACAAGTTCTTTGTTCTTCTTAATAATTCTGAAACTTCCATGAGCAGTCTTTATATAGCTTTGGAATTTTATAGTAGCATAATATGTTGAACACCAATTGCCTTGACTTCTTCTGGGCATTACAGATCAATCTGGCATTCATTTGGCATCGAAAGAATGATTTAGACTACCTTACAGGAGAACATAATCAGAAGTCACAAGTCTTGTTACTACCCAAAGATGAAGGCAAAGCTGAATCGATAGACAATCTGTAGCACGTTCTGTTTATTACATCTTGGCACTTAAAATATTTGGCTTTATAGCCTCTTTTAGCTTATGCAGTTAAATTACTCTATGAAGTTGCAAGTAACAGAAAATACATACGGAACTTGTAGACTAGCACGAAACTTAAATTTAATCAGTGAATATATGTATGAATGTTGCATTTAAGTTAAAATGTATGACATAGTGTTTGACCGTTATTGTTGTAATTGCAGCCAAGAGGCAACAGAAAACATGGTGCATCATTTATCATTACTAGAGCAATTACAGGTAAATATGACTTGTTCTTATATTCATGACTCATAAAAATGATGTGTGGATTGCTTATGTTTACAATTTCTGTACTTTAGCGTGGCTAGTATAATGGAAATAGGGTGCAGGATGTGTTTTCAGGAAGATGTTTTCTGATTATCAATATTGCTATGTTATTTTTATGTAATTTTTATGAGCTTTCTTGTCTCTGTTAGCTTATTGGGACAAACTAATAAACCATACATCTCAGAAGTTTAGAAGCTCTGTTGTGTTTTGCAAAATGTTGAGGTTTTTTCTCTACCAGGTCTTGCACTGGGCTGTTTGCTAGTTATACAGTTCTATAAGGAAGCTGTACATTCTGATTACGTTACATTGCCATTCAACACTTGGTTTATGCAGTAACTGAATTGCATTTTCAAGAATTTCTCTTAGAATTTCCAGAAATGTGTAGTGATTTTTTTTTTGATCAGCTGTTTGCATTTACTCTAATACACTAATTCATTGGCCAAGGATAGAGGGTTATTTCCCTTAATACCTTTTACTTCTGTGAGAATTTCTGTGATTCTGTGTTCAGTAAGCTGGAGAGTGTTTTAAAACAGCTAGAGGTATAATTTTTACCGCTCTTTCCATTGTAGGTCCTGCACTGTTTTTGCTTCGATACATCTGGTACAGGTAGGTTTGATGAAAATAGTGCTTAATCTTTTGATTTGTAATATTTTTATAGCTTTTTGATTTGATGGAAAGTTACTTTTAATGAGAGTAAAATTGAACACTTGTTTAGAATATTGTCTAAGCAATGCTTTGAATATTCTCTTTTCATAACTTTAAGTTGTAATCACTTGAGTTGCAGCTGAAGCCTGTCTAGGAAAGAGCTGGTGTATACTAGTCTGACTTCTTGCTTTTATCGGAAACCAAGTAAACTTTCAATGGGATCATCATCTTTCACAAAACATGTATTTGTTCTGCCCACTCCCAACTGAGATATTGCAAGTGAAGTAGTCTTTTTCTTAAGCTTCAATGACAGGTATGATGGCATGGCAGGATTTGCTTCCTTTGGAGTAATAATTTATATTTTTTTTTTTTTGACAATTCAAACTGTCTTACAAAAAACTTGGTAACTAGTTGAGCAACACTCATGCCATTTATAAAATTAACTTCATATTCAAAAGGCACTTAAATGGTCCCAGAAACATATTGGGGTTAATACAGCGTTCCTGGAGAATTTCAGCTCTATGGTTATAGTACTCTGTTGATGCACTTGGGAGGTTTGAAGATGTCAGTTCTCCCTTTTTGGGGGTATTCTGGTGGTTTTGAGATACATGGAAAGGGACATTCATGTGGCTCCCTGTGAAACAATACCATACTTGAATTCAGCAGGCGGTGCTGTTTTCCCTATTGCTGGTGTTCCACTTTATTATGTGGGTCCCCCTCCTTTTTTTTTTTTTTTTTTTTTTTTTGGAAGGGGTGGTGGTGTTTATAGGCTCCATACCATCATATAAGGCTAGTTGCAGAATTAACTTATTTTTCTTCCTTCCCCCGCCAGTAGTCATATTTAAAGTCTGATTTCTAGGTTTTATAACTGATTCTAGTTGCTATTTTTATGTATGTAATAAAAACATTTGGGAGGGAGCTTGGGAGGCCTCTAGTTTAAAGTCCTGCCAAAAGCAGGGAGAACATCGAATTCAGTCTAGGTTCCTTAGGGCTCTGTCCAGCTAGGTCTTGAAAAACTTAAAGGATGGAGACCCCAAAGACTCTCTGGGCAGGCTGTTCCAGTGCCTGACTGTCTTCGTGGTGAAGAATTGCTTATATCACCTTGGAACCTCCTCTGTTTTAGAATCATAGAATCATTTAGGTTGGAAAAGATCTTTAAGATCGAGTCCAGCTGTTAACCTAACACTGTTTCTTGTGCTTCTGCCATGCACCTCAGTGGCTCCCATCTTCATGGTAACCTCCTAGGTATCAGAGAGCTACTGTTTGGTCTCCCTGAAGCCTTCCATTCTCCAGGCTAAACAAGTACAATTCCATCAGCATCTCCTTGTAGGGCAAGTGCTCCAGTCCCCTGACCATCTTGGTGGCCCTCTAGTTTATTGCTGGTGTTCTTGTAATGGGGGGCCCAGAACTGAGTGGAGTATAACGAGTTAGGAGTAAATAATCCGTTCTCTTAACATGTGGTTTTGTTTCATTAATACAAACAAGGATGTTGTTAGTCTTCATCATGTTGCAGGGTGCAGTGCTGAGTCATGTTTAGTTGCGAAAACCTCACAGGTGATTGATGGTTGCCTCAAAGCTAAGTCGTCTGGCAGGTGTATCTTGAGTACTGCTTTTGTTAGGTGTATGTTCTGATTTAGCCTAATGTTTTTGTTATTTCAGCCCTGCCAAGTTTTCTCTGCCCACTGGACTGGTTCGTCTGGTTAGTAAGCAGATCAACTGGCACCTAGTACTTGCAAGGTAACCAGCTTACATGCTTTTCCATTTTTGGCAGTAGTGAATGTATTAATGCTTCCGCTGCTTCCCTGGCCGTCCCCATTAGTAACATTTCTGAGTTAATATTGTGCTAAAGTCATGTTATTCTTTTTAGTCAAGAGAAATGCTGGAGGCTTTGACAGGTAGCCTTGGGAGAGAAAGGCCAGTCTGCTACCTAGGGGATTCCACGCTACTTCCCTTCATTTGACGCGCCTCTCGCTCAGCTCTGAATGTCTGTCTAGCTTTTGAGGCAAAGTGGCTTGCAGTGCAATCGTTCTCAAACTCAAGTCCTGCATTTGATCGGTTAAAGACCTATAACTTGGCAGGATATGTTGCTTATTTTAATGTTTCTGGAATGTGGATGCATACCATGAAGACATGTCTGTTATTGTACATGTAGACAAGAAGCAAGAGTTCCAAGGCTAGAACCAGCTGTTCTGTAGTAATTCTGAGATCAATGAGATTTTCTGGACACATTTATGCTTATTTTTAAAAGCTGGTGAGATCACTCGCTTTAAAAAAAAATCATAAATATGTACAGAAAAATGGTTCAATGATATGAAAGAAGTATGGAATGTTTTATTTTATTATGTATTACTGCTGAATATGATCAGTGGTTCAGCAAGCACTCTGTACTGTTGAGAGAGATGATGATTCATTGAGGGAAGTGATGACCCCGTTTGATGCACAGCATGCCAGTTGCAATGTTACGTGTTAGGTACAAAGACAGGAGACCTGCTCCGAAGGAGACAGTGTAACTTACTGAAGTATGATACTTGTTTATTCCAGATAAAGCAATACATAGTTTTAGATATTGCTGTTATAAAATTATCCATGAACAACAACTAATTCTGACCTTCCCTGCAGCAAGATTTTAGACGTTGTTTTTGTTTTCTTAGTGTTACTAGAAAAGAGCTACAGATACATTTTAGTGACGTGAAGGGGATCTTGTTATAGCACTGGTTCTTTGGGGTTTTTTTTTGCATAAAAATTGGTATTTCCCAATTTGTTTTGATTTATGAAAGAGGAAATTTATATCTAACCTTGCAGAAAAGTACCTAGAACTCTGATGTGCATTCTGTAAGGACTGGACTTTAAATGAACTTTCACACCTGTATTTTTCTCTTTCAGCAATGGCAAATTGTTGGCAGTTGTTCAAGACCAATGTGTAGAAATCAGGTAACTTAGTATTATCTGTTGCTTCACAACACACCACACACCAACAGCTGTGGTGTTCTGAGAAAGTGTGTCCAGTTATTTAATAACTGTACTTTTAAAGATTTTCTTGGGGGCGTTCTTTTGAATATTATCTATTGTGCAAGTAATCTATGTAATAATCTTAAAATATTTTATGACCTGGAAGGTAGAAGCCTTCTATTTCTTCTTAGTTCTTGGCCATTCCCCATTTAAACCGCTCCCCCCCAGTTATAAATGTTGTGGGTAAATTTATATTAAGTATCAATCAAGATACTTCAAAATACTAATCCTAAATCATGATCTTTCTAACCTTTGTCTTTCTGTTCCCCCTGGAAAGTCACCCTAATAAATGGGACAAGGAGCTAGTATTCTGCCTCTCTGTAGAGTAGCTGGCATGTATAATACCTCACCTTATTTTACAAGTAGTGTGAATTGCCGTAAAGACTGCTTTCCCTTTTTCTTCTGCTCTGTAACAAGCAACTCTCCTTTGCCAGTTCAAGAACACATTTAGCTGTAGAACGGATCTTGATTGAGTGTGTTTACTTGCTTCACAAAAATGCATTTGCTAGAAGGTCAGACCTTCTATTTATATGTAAAAGAAGCAAGTGTATGAAAATTGTTCAATCAGAAGTGGTGTGAACACCATAAATGTCAGCTTATAGACTATAAAATAAATCTTGTGTTTCAACTGTATTAATGTAACTATATTCTTGCATTGTTTCTAAAATTGTAACCTAGAGAATATTGACTAAGTTTTTTTTTTTTTCCCTAAAGTTACATGCTGAAGTTCTGAAATGCTACTATCCTATTTTGAACAGCATTACTACTAAATAAGGGATATTAATATTTATGTTTTGGGAGGAGGGTTTCTAAAATACTGCTGTTAGGTACTGTAGCTGCCTAAGGGTGGAAGCTACTGTCTGCCTCTTTTGAACAAGTAGTTCAATACACGCAGGCCTTTGAATTGTGCATGTAGAATATTTTTACAGTGTTCTGTTTATTCTCGAAAATTGAATAGTGTTTTTTTCTTATGTAAATCCATATGAGTCTCTTTCTGCAGGTCTGCAAAAGATGACTTTGGATCCATAGTTGGAAAATGTCAAGGTATACAACATGACGACCTTTACATCATTACTTGGTGTCATCATTGTTTATTATTCATGAATTGCTAACTGGTGGTGTTGGTTTACTTTAACGGTAATTTTGTAACCTCTTAAAAGCATCGAGAAGAATCTCTTAATAATTTTGCTTTGTGACTAGCTCCATTACCCTGCCTTCCTCTCTTCTTTTCATGATGATTAAAATAAAAAAACTAAATCTGAAATGAAATGGTAGTTAAAATTAATAGGTTTGGTGTAGCATACGACATAGCAGGTGTTGGAGGTGGTGTGGTTTTTTTTTTCTCTCTCCTCTGAGATAAGCTTGTAATGATGGTAGGCACCCTGGATTTTTTGATGCACTTAACTTTTTGTTCGTTTAAGGGATTATATTTATATTTAAATTTAACTTTCTTCCTTTTTCATAGTGCCAAAGGATCCTAACCCTCAATGGAGACGAGTGGCATGGAGTCATGATTGTACGTTACTTGCTTATGCTGAAAGCATTGGAACAGTGAGAGTGTTTGACCTAATGGGTAGTGAGCTTTTGGTCATTTCACCAGTAAGTGCTCTCTTAGATTACATATGAATTATAGTAGAACTTTTTGTAAGGATAGAGGGTAATTTCCACTCACTGGCCTTCTTTTAATCACGGCTTACTTTTGGTATGTAAGCTTGCAGTATGAATACCATGCACAAATGTATCATGAAGTGTTTATCATATGATGTATATATTATAAACTTAAGTCATGTGTACCACTTGCAAAGCATATCTTTTGTGGTGTTGTAGCTAGTCAGAATCTTCATCTTTCTTTTCTTAGAGTTGTGGTAGATCTGCAGGTACATCAGATTGTGAAAGTATAGAGTCACCTAATTAGTATGTGTGCAAACAGTTACAATTTGTAGTAGTAGATTACAAATTTGCAGTTTATATGCAGAATCACTTATAAATCAAGACATATTGCTGATAGAACAATATGAGTATTTTTTTTTTCTTGGTATGAGAATACATAATTGCTGTTAGCTTGCCCCATGCAATATGTTTTATATTTTGCATATTCAAAGGCTGTATTAAACTAATTTGGGAAGGTGGCTCAAGTGTATTTCATTAGTATATTGTCTTTGCAAACTTTATAGTAATAAGATTTCTTTAAAATCAAGATAAAAGGAAATGTATTTTGTTACTAATATAAACTATGAAACTTTATTTTTTTTAATACATTTTTATACAACATAGTAAATTTAACTTCCTAGTTCTTTCAGTAATGAAGACTCTCTCTCTCTCTCTCCCCCCCCCCCTTTTTTTTTTTTTTTAATTAAAATCCACCTTCTTTCTCAATTTATGTCTGCATTTTTGGGTAAAGACAGCAAGTTTTCCAGGAGATCTGAGTTACGCTATTGCTGGATTGATCTTTCTAGAATACAAAGCAAGTGCCCAATGGTCAGCCGAACTGCTTGTCGTTAATTATCGTGGAGAATTGAGAAGTTATCTTGTGAGGTAAGCGTAAATTTTGACTTGCTTTGAGAAGACACAGTGAACTTCAAAAGAATTCTTTAAAAAGTGGAAAGAAAATGTATCTGAAAGAATGTATATTTTTTTCCCCCCCATACTTAGTGTTGGAACAAATCAAAGCTTTCAAGAAAGTCATAGTTTCAACTTTAGCAGCCATTATGCCCATGGAATAACTACTGTCATTTATCATCCTGGTCACAGGTAAGTGTTCTGTTTGCTACCTGCCAATAATATAAAAATGATGAGCAAAAATAGCAAAATAAACACTGGAGTGTGTTGGATAAGGAGGGAAGAAAAAAAAATCTATTTTAATATTGATATTTAGTGAATCAGTAATAACAGGTCATGTATCGTTGTACCTATGAAAGAAGCCCTAGTTGGTGATCTCACTTTACTATTGGAATAATGAACATCAATTTGTGTACTTTACTGTTTGAGTACCTTGCATAAGCAGCATTTTTTAGAATGTCAGGAGTAGCTTCAAAAGACGTTTCTGAATTTGATTGGGTAAAGGGTGATGTATGCGTTTGTCTGTTTGTTTTTTTTCTGCCTGATTTGATTTCTGGACTTGCTGGCCAGGCTGTTTTCTCTGGTGTTCCGACTGGAACTGCCAGGTTTTGGTATTTGGAGTAGTCTTGTGATGTGTTGTCTCGATTACTAATGTGTTGGGTACAGGTATGAGACTAGAAAGAAGGAGTAACTGACTGCCTGCTCTTGCACCAGATGAAATTGGAATAGGTCTTGGTTAGCCAATTACTTATGTTAAAAATGTGTCTGCCTTTTTAATGTCTACTTGTTATATAGCAAGATAAACTCAACAACTTATTTTTCTATTTCCCTTCAGTTGTAGGAACTAAACTTCCTTCTAGATATTTTTCTTCTATTAGATCTACTAGGATTGAATTTGTCAGTGCAGTATGTTATATCACCGTATTGTTTTGAATTGGGCTTGGCTGTAGAATACCAGAAGAAACTCACTGTTTAAAAACTTGTTCTCATTCTTCCGTGTTAAGTGAGCTGCCCTAGCTATCTTAGGAAAAAAATGGTTATTAATGAGAAGTAATTGTTCTTCTAGTGTATTACTTTGAGAGATTAATTTTGAGTATGACTTCTTTCTGCCTAGTTCATATCTAATAATTCCACATAATTAGTACTCAGTATACTAAATCTAGAGTTTTGAGGTAATAAGTGTGGGTTATGGAGCTTTGGTAGTGCTATCTAACCAGACAACAGAACCTACTCATTCTTTCCTTTGATCAGACCAAGGTTGATGGTTCTTGACACTTGTTTCCAAAGTTGTCTTTTCTGTTCCTGATGTTAGGAAGTAGATTGATTATAACAGTGAGTGTTGCAAAGAATATTGGTTAATAATATTCAAAGTATGGTCAAATAATTATTCTGACAGTTATAGATGGATGTTCTTGCTTCTAATTTTTGGTGTGTTTCTGAGTAAATTATGTCAAAACTGAGAAACACACTGATGAATCCATTAACAAGAAAATACGTAGACCATCAGCTGGTGTAGTCATCAGCCAAAATAGTATGGACATTGCTTTGTGTGTGCTAATAGCAACTTCTTCCCATAGAGGTTTAAAAGAAGGAGGGTGGGAGAGAAGGCAAAAATTTCAGGTTTTCTTTCCTTCAACCTCCAAGGGAAGTAATAGCTTTGTTTTTCCTACTATTCTTATAATAGCTGAGGTTAATGTTTTTAAAACTTGATATTAGTGTGATGTAAAAGAGCAGGACACAATCCTGGTTTTGTGCTTAGAACAGTTTATTCAGAATATTAGTAATTATAGTTATCTTTTTATGGAAGCTTATGGTTGGCGTATTTTTTTGTTGTTGTCTACATTCCATGTATTTTTATGGAGAGAAATGCCCTTCCCTTAACGTGAAAAGATGTGGTTATATCTGCTGCTGAAGTAATAAGTTTGTGTAGTGTGTATGGCATACACATTCAGGAATTACTTGTTTTTCTCAGGAAATATTATGACTCATTCCATGAAAATAAAAATAGTCAGGTGGAGTCCTCTGTGATTGTGTGTAGCCAGTTGACTTGCTTAGCAGAGTTGAAAAATTGATACTTGAAAGAATGCACAATTGGATGAAATGGAAAGCAGAAAGAACCGATGTTTTGCGCTTCATGTAGGCAAGTTTTTCTGTTATGAATTTACTCTGTGGTAGAAAACTTCTAAATTTGACATTGGAGAACTCTAAATTCCTAATCAGTCTTTTGCTGAAATTGTCTTGTTATCCAAAAAAACCCAGAAGGAGTTGAAGGGAGGCTGTTTTCTTCAATTGTGCATTGAAGAAAATTGTAGATACATATGAACACTTCCAAGTTTTGTTTTTCAATAATGTGAACTTTGATCACTTAACATAAGTTCAACTTTGTCACTTTGTGCTTTCTTGCATTTCATTTAGTTTTAGATGGTGAGGTTATACTGGTCTGTCTCCAGTGCTTGTAAGACTTTACTTGCTGCACTCTATATTACTATGTATTTGCTCATTACCTATTACAGTGCAATACAATAGCACTTAAGAACTTAATACACTTAATTTTTTCAACTAGATGTATGATAATTGCAAAGAGAACATGTCAGTCGGGAATGTATCTGAATCTGTAGGAGAACTTGAAACAATAGCTTTGGGAAAAAGTCTAATAATGAGTTTCATTGCTGCTGGAAAGTGTCATATACCTTAATTTAGCTGCCTAATGTTGGTGTTCTCATGTGATCCAGCCTTCATCTATGATGGAATTTATGGTGCACTTTAGTTGACAAAACTTAGATGCCTGCTTCAGAGTGAGCTCTCTGTAGGCTCTAATGGAATGTTCAACACCTGCTTATTTTGTATATCTTATTCTGGAGCTCCATATCTTACTTTAGGGTTATCAGCACTTGCTACAGAAAATGCCTGATATTAGAGCCCAGAATTTGTGATGATTATAGCAGATGAAGGTTTTTAAATTCAGTTGGAATTTGCTTGTTGTACCAAAATTGATGAGTGAAGAATTGTGTAGAAGTATCAAGTTTTTCTTGGATGCCTCAATTGAACCTGCTGTTCTTGAAACCAGTATTATACTAGTTATCTTGAGCCCAGATTCATAGAAAATTTTGAAACAGAGTACGGTTGAGGTATTGCAAGGGCAGACTTTTTTTTAAGACTGGAGGAAACTCTGGAGATAATCTAATCTATTCCCCTTCACAGCAGGGTCAACCAGAGCAGATTTCTTGGAGCCGCATCCCTGCAGTCCAAGACCTGCACATCTGTATCATCCCTTAGGATCATGGTCTGTGTCAAGGCCTCTGATGTGCTGGAGTGGCTGCTCCAGCGGGTGCTGGGGACTGAGCCTGGTGGTGCATCACCACAGTTGCTCAGGAGTATGTACAGAGAGACTTTCTGGCCATCATTTTCATAATTTTCTGCAACCTGCTGCACAAAATACTGCATTTGTTGGTTGTGCTCTAGGCCTGGCACTTACAGAGGTCTTTTTCTAGGACATGTAAGGATTCCTTACTAATCAGGAGTCGGCTGCAACAAAAGCTCAAAGCACTCTTTGATCATGAACATCTGTCAGACCTTGTCAAAAGCTTCTAAAGCTTGCTAGCTAGCTTTTCCTGGCGATGGCAGGCATGGTGAAGTTCCTCAGAGCCTTCCCAGGAGTCCTCTGATGATCCCAGACGTATGTAGAAGATTAAGAGGATCTAGAAATGGAGACCAGAAACTGCTGCACAAACTGCTGCATGCTAGCGGTGCTCTGTGTAGAAAATGTATGCAAGAATAAACATTAAAGATTCTAACATTTTAGGTACTAAAGTATGTTGCATTGATCTTGATGTCCATAACAGTGTGATAGACAAAACTTTTCCTTCTAGGGAGTTACTGTCAAGCATCATATGTTAAGTTAATGTTGCTTTGTGACTCATCTGGAGAGGCATAAAACTACAGCTGATACGATGTGATTTAGGAACCCAAGTATTTGGCTAGGAAAAGTAGTTTTTTACATTACTGGGACAAAAAAAGTGATTGGCATGATGTCTTCTTCAGACTGAGACTAACTTAGAAAAGTAAACAGGAAAAAAATCCCTCTCCTGTTGCTGCTCCCAGTCTCCCTGTCAACTTGTTGTTTTGGAGTCATCGCCTGTCTGGTCCTGAAAAAATAATTGGTAAACGAGGCCAGATCTTTGCTGAGGCTCTCAGGAGTACCTTTCATTTTCTTTTGATGCCAGTTGTGTTATTCATCTTAATAGTTTCTGCCCCTGCTGTTGCATTTTGCTCTCTGAAAAGCTTTTAAAAATTATAAGTACTTTCTGCCATGATGAATTTCTCTGCAGTCCTGGGAGAAGGCTTTTTGTCTTGAGGTTGTGTGTTTTGTGTGTGTCTAAACTGGTATGACATCTTCATTCCAGTTGTCACTGAGTTTCATTTATCCTAAAAGATACTTCTGAATTATAAATATGATGCACTGTATGTGACAGTTTTTCTGAAATGTCTTTGAAAAGATTTATCTTGATGGAGTTTTTGAGAGCTAGTTCAGGCAGTTTTGGAGCTACTGCTGTCACAGTTATTGACAATTCTTCTCTTGGTCTTTGTGCTACTATTTGTCTCGTAGTCACCTCTGGCACCATGCGGTCAATTGGAATTGAGTTTTAGTCACTGCTGCTGTTGAGATTTTTAATTCAGGGGCATATTGCAATGGAAGTTGGAGCTTATGGAAGAATTTAGGTGCCTATGGATGGATAAGACTATAGATACATTAATCTTCCAGAGGATTGTGCCAGCTGTCCTTTGGTTATTAGGAATTCACAGCTGTGTTGTAGCGATTTCATGAAGTTCTTGTTTACTGATTTTTAATTTTTTCTTTGTAAAGCTTTCCTCAGGAAAGGCTGTGAAAGAGACGCATCAAACTTACTTTCTGTGCTAAAAAAAGTTAGGAAATTGGTCAATTTATGTGTAATGGTCTGTGCAATGTTGATCTTGCCAACATCTTCCAGAGTTTCAAGATGAGATTTCATGATGTTAGACTGTGTGCTCAGATGTTTGAGTACCCAAACAAGTTTATTCTTGCTGGCTAAAATGGACATAAACTGCATCTTGTACAACGGGCTAGATCGAGTATTTTGTCCTAAAACCTTTTGGTGCTGTTACAAGGAATTTCATGTGGTATGCTATGTGTCTGATGAAAGCTTGGGATTTTTAAGGGTTTTGGGGTGGGGTGGGGTGTGTTGGTTTTTGTGGTGGTTTGTTTTTTTTTTTTTTTTGGGTAGAGGTATGTGTTGCATGATATTTGAAAACTTCCTTGTTTTTTACTGAAGTTCCTCCGAAGAACTATGTAGCATGTCTAAAAAATGGCTTTTTATGAGTTGGGGGCAGCTCTTAGTTCTTTGATCAATGGCAGTGTGTCAGGCTTCTCTGACAGAATGATTGTGGGCAGAGGAAAGCTGCAGAACAGAAACATCGGGGAGAAGGAAAGCAAAACATACGCAGAAAGGAAACAAATGGCTTATTAATTGTATGACACTGTTGTGGTTTAACCCCAGTGGGCAATTAAGCACTAGGCAGCTGCTTGCTCCCCCCACAGTGGGATGGGGGAGAGAATTAATACGCAGAAAGGAAACAAATGGCTTATTAACTGTATGACACTGTCGTGGTTTAACCCCAGTGGGCAATTAAACACTAGGCAGCTGCTCGCTCCCCCCACAGTGGGATGGGGGAGAGAATTGGAAAGGTAGAAGTGAGAAAACTCATGGGTTGAGGTAAAGACAGTTTAACAGGTAAAGCAAAAGCTGTGCACACAAGCAAAGCAAAACAAGGAATTCATTCCCCACGGGGAGGCAGGGGTTCAGCCATCTCCAGGGAAGCAGAGCTCCGTCACGTGTAACCGTTACTTGCGAAGACAAATGCCATTACTCCAAATGTCCCTCCCTTCCTTATTCTTCATCGCAGCTTTATATGCTGAGCATGACGCCATATGGGATGGAATATCCCTTTGGCCAGCCTGGGTCAGCTGTCCTGGCTGTGTCCCCTCCCAACCTCTTTTGCACCCCCACCCTGCTCGCTGGTGGGGAGGTGTGAGGCACAGAAAAGGCCTTGACCCTGTGTGAGCACTGCTCAGCAATAGTGAAAACATCCCTGTATTATCAACACTGTTTTGAGCACACATCCAAACCACAGCCCTACACCAGCTACCATGAAGAAAATTAACTCTATCCGAGCCAAAACCAGTACACACTTAATCTGTGATATTTTCTTTTCCCAAGTACACGTCCCTCCAGTGATCAGCAGAAAATTTGATACTAAAATATTTTGCGTAGTTCTGAGACCTGTGTTGTTTATTGGTGGCTGTACCCCATGTGTTATTGTTTGCCATGTTCCTGAAGGATTGATGTTCTCTCCAATCCTTGCATGGTTGAAGTAACTTTCTTCTTAAGAGAATAACAAACTGTTCCAGTAGTTTCTAGTATTTGTTGATGCCCCAAAGCTGAATGAAATAAAACTAGTTATGTGCTTCTGCTCATTGCTTCTGTTTTCCTTAATTGTTTGGAAATTAAGCAATGGAATTGCTTAAATACTCTGGTTTTCAATGTCTGCCTTTCATTATTATTATTTTTAACAAACCCCTATAGTCTTTGAGAGTCCTGGTATCAGAGACACCCTCAGATCGAGCTCGTGCTTAGTATGACTTGCAGAACAAAGTACTCTTACTAGTATTTTGGGTTAAAGTGGTTAAACTTGGTAAGTTCCTCTGAATTCCTGTCCAAATATTTATTTGAGAATTGTCCAACCAATTGACCATAATTAACAACCAGTATCAAAACCAAGCAGTTGGTTTTGATGGGAAACTGTTAAAATGTAAAGCAACTTGGATTCATTTAAGATGTAAAGTTTGTCACATAAAAGGCTTAATGAGTCTTATATTACTAGCTTGTTCAGAAAAGAGGTGTGCACTGCAAGAGTTCTTTGGCATTTTAACATTGGGATTGCTGTGCTAACTGAGCAACAGTTGTGTTCTCTGTTTAACAAGTAGTTTTTGTGATGAAGTTTCTTCTGTGACCTACATAATGCTGAAGTACAGTGCTCCCTTGCTGCTGTGTCTGTGTTGGAGTTCTCTCACTGACCGTCTAATGCCATGCTTTGCTAATTGTTGTCATCTTTATAACCTGATTGCTTTGCTAGGTATCTACGGGAAAGATACGATAGGTGAATTTTATGTCTGCTGTTTTTATATGTTATTGCTACAAAAAATTTATGCTGATTACTGAAGAATATGTTTGCTTCCACATGCTACTCAGATTATCAGTTTTAAGGAGTCTGAAATATGATCTGCGCTCCTCATGGTAGATTTCCTTAACTCTGATGGGAATCCGTTTGTTCCTTAAATGATAACATGGTTTATTCTTGGTGTACTACAGCAAGAAACCACTGCGACAGGGATGCTCTGCCTGAAACTTTACATATTCTAAAGTTAAACAGCACCTCCTTAAGGGAGAAGTAATTACCCTTAGCTGTGCTATGCTTTACTTTCTGAGCATAAAAACAATGCAAAATTACCCATTTTCCTGTTAATTATGATGGTTGACTGAGAGTCTACTGCTGTTTTTGTGGAAAATGGTGAAAGTGATTTCTGTTTTGCTGTCTTGGGCAACTCTTGACACCACAAAATAATTAAAACTCATAAGAATCTTAACGGACTGTAAGCATTCCTGGTAGAAGTCATCTTGCTGTATGTGAATAGCATGAGACCTGGGAATGTTAAATAAGTTTTACTGACCTCTTAAAGAGGATTAGATGTGGAAGGAAAATTTTTTTCTTTTTTCTTTCTTTTCCTTCTTTTTTTCTTGCAGTTGATTCTTGCAGGAAATGCTTTGAAACACATTCAGATCATAGCTGAAAGCTATATGAGCATCAGCCACTAGGTGGTAGAGCATTTCAGGAGAAATGCAAACTTTGAAAATTGATGAAGGAGTGTTCTCATGGCTGAACTTCTGGCTTTTTCCAATCTTTGCCTTTTTTGCAGATACTTTACTTTTTGATGGGTTGTTCACTAAAATGATGATTCCAAACAAATTTAGACATCTGTTCTCAAAGTTTTTGTCAAAATAATCATCAGTTAAAAATAAAACTGTTTGTTAATAAGGTGAAAAGGCTTCAAGGGAAAATGTTTTGATACATTTTAGTGGTAATCAGTAATAATTCTAAGAGTTCCCTTAAAATTTTTGAAATATCATCTACTGTGTGTAATGAAATGATTACATACACATTTGGTAGAGTGTCTTTAGAAAACAAAATTGAAAAACCTTGATGCATTTAGTGCTTTAGTAAGAGAAGCATCTTTTGTACCACATCTGAATAAATGGAAGCCTAATGCTTAAAGAGAATGACCAGAATTTTTCATAAGCTTAAGCTGTAATTGTTATCATTCTTTGAGGGTAGGAGAGAAACTGAAACTGTAGCCAGACATACTTTCTTTTAAATTTTGGGAATTATGCCATATTTGGAAAGAGAGATGAGGATGCAGAGGGATAAATGCTACAAATACCAAGTGTTAATCAAGTATTTGTCTGTGAATAAACACCCTGAAGTTTCAAGCTTATTGGGGCTGTTAGGTGTCTTAGTATACTTAGTCTTTTTGTTAATGCAAGCAAACTGCTATAGTTCTCACTTAAGACAATTAAAAGAACATTTATGTGGCAGTATATGAAAACATAATATGTCTTTATATATTTTACAGACTCCTGCTTGTAGGAGGCTGTGAAACAGATGCAGATGGAGTATCTAAAGCAACTGGTTGTGGGATATCTGCTTGGAGGGTTCTGTCAGGCTCTCCCCATTACAAACAAGTCACTAGTTACGAAGATGACATTAGAACAGTAAGTGTGTTTCCCCATTTTATTGGATGAATATTGGATGAATGTTGTCACTGGCAGAATTACCTAACTGGAAGTTCAATAAGAATCTCTTTTTGAAAGAAGAATTTAATGCAATGTTTTGCTATTTTGTAAGCTATGATGTGAACTTCTAAGAAGTTACCTCTTCTCCACCCCCAACATCTGTCTGTTTTTTCTTCTTCTGTAATATGAGTTGAACTTTTAACTTCTTGATTATCACATGTGGTTTAAAAAAAAACAACAAACAAAGCAACAAGAAAGTACATCAAAAAATGTAGTGTGGAAATATACAAACTCCTCAGTTGTGTATTGGGATATGTTTCCTTTCTTTCTTGGAAAAATTCCAGTTATTTTTGTCTTTTTATTATTTCATAACAAAAGCAGCACACCTGAAATAAATGTTTCACTTTAAGTCCTCATTTCTTTTGCTTCTAGTAGAAGTAAATGTTTGATTTGGTAACTACTGTGTGGATAATACTGAAATCAAATTAGAGTATACTGAGATAAATTTCAGTATTTACTCTTATATAGGTATTGCGTAGTATTAAAAGTGAGCTGTTAATTTCATTGCAAATGGGTAAGGCTTTTCTGTGGCATAGAATCATAGAATCATTAAGGCTGTAAAAGACTTTTAAGATCATCAACTGAACACCATCATGCCTACTAAACCATGTCCCAAAGTGCCACGTCTACACATTTTTTGAATACTTCCAGTGCTGCTGACTCTACTGGGCAGCCTGTTCCAAAGGATGATACGTACCGAATGAAATGGGCAAAGTTATAAAAACTACATTTTATTATCCTTGCATTATTGTAAAATAGGCAGTCTTATGGAAGTTTAAAGAACTGCAGAGTTTTTTTAATACTTTAGATACGACGTAGATTTTGGTGTATAAAACAATGTATGAGATTGTATTTCATTGTATGATATGTTTCTGTTTTTCCAGGCACAGAGAAGAGGATTATTAAGGATTATGAATTTAAGATTTTACAGCAGGCGGGGAACAGAACAGGTATTAAGGTCTAGGTCTACCTCAGAAATGTATTTTGCTAACATAATTGTGCATTAATGACTGCCTGATAGACTGATTGAAAGTAGTTTGTAATTTATGCAACATAAGAATTAACGTTTCTATAAAACTTACTAAAAATACCAAGTTTTAGTGTTAGAGTAGCTTGCTGTTTATTTGGCTTTTTTAAAAATCCTGATAGTTCATCTGCTGAAGCTTGAATCCTGAGTTTTCAGCATACTAACAGGAACAGGTCCAGATATGTAGAGTTCAATATTAAATGTAAACTCTTAATAAGAAAGGAAGGTGTAAAAAGCCACCTAGTTACTTGTTAATGAATGTAATGATCATAGCCTGTTAGGTGTATTCTGTATTGGACAAGAAGAGAGTAGATTGTGACGGTGTTTCTCAAGTATATGCCCAAGAGAGAAATAAGAGCAACTCCAAACCCCAGCCTTCTATACTACCCCACTCCTGCTAGAAAACAGACAAAAACCTCCTCACCTTATAGCCCAAAATTTTCATGTAATGTGGGGAAGTAAAATATGAGTGGATTCAAACTAATTATTCATGGCTTAAATAGGGAAGACACAAAGACTTTTTTTACAGTCTGTTACAAGATTTTTTGTTTTTACAGTTTTTACAGTTTTTATTTATGAGATATTTTAGAAACATTTTGCTAAGTAGCTTCAAAGGTTTGTTATGGATCAAACTTCTACTACCACGACACATGTGAACCTCATGAACTGCTGATCAGAATCAACTTGTTCTTAAGAAACATTGGGTATGGGTCTTGCATATTCTTCTCCCCTGAAAGAGTGGATGTTAAATCTTTGAGCGTTATGCTGAGGTATAGGTGTGTACTTTCTCTATTTCCAAGGCTTTGCACACAGTGCTCCTGACTTTCTTCTACATGCCTGAGGAGCTACCCATGCAGTACTGCACCACTTTCTCTCGTCTACTAGTTGTGTGTAGCCTTTGTTTGATTCCTTTATTATCCCCTTTTCCCTCCTTGTAAAAAATTTGTTTTCCCTTCTTTTGCTTTACAAGGAAAGAACAGTAAAGAATCTGTCTACCACTCTCACTGTATCCTTGTGAGAGGAAAAATGGCTGGTCTGAAGTTATATGGACTTTGGAAATGACCTTAATAGATTTTTGGGATGTTTAGGTGACTGGTTAAAAGAAGAAATTGCATGCCTGATTGGAAGGGGAAAACAAATCTTTCCGAATCTCTCACAAGGGTGGAATGGGGAGAGATTTTATTTCCTTCACTGAAAAGATACAAGAGAAGGCTGAAGTAAACTTTTTTTATTTTTTACTGGAAGACTAGTACTGAGTGTAGGTGTACTGAACTTCAACTTCACTGCATTTGCCAGTACTAAATTTACAAAAAAAAGCAGATTGTTATTCTTCCTTCATAGAATCACAGAATCACTAAGGTTGGAAAGGACCTTCAAGATCATCAAGTCCAACCATTAATCCAGCGCCACCATGTCCCCTAGACCATGTCCTGAAGCGCCACATCCACACGTTTCTTGAACACTTGAATGTTTTAATCTGATTTCAGAGATTATTGTTTAAATATATGAGGCATAGTTTATACTTTTAGTGGGAAATTGGCAATGCTGTTAATGTATGACAGGCATGGCAGCTAGAGGACTTGTATATTAGAACTAGCTATATTGGGATTTGATTCTTAGTGTTGCTAACTTAAATCACGCTTATAAAATGTGAAGTGCCAACTTGCTGAGGTTTTCAGTATCTTGTTCTGCAGTTCCCTTAAGTTGACAAGCTATTTACCGAGGCCAATTACCATTGCCAATGGACTGATTAATCTCTATAGATAACAATGCTTGGGTGGTAAATTTGAATGTGTTAATGGCTGCCCAAACATCTAAATTTAACAGCAACAGAATTATCACTTACTGAGTAAATGTTTAACCTGTGTTAAGATCTGTGATGTATACCACTGACCGTTTATCTGAATGGGTTATATATTTTAGCTATATGTTTCTAAGCCCTTTCACAGTCTCTTGTTCTTTGTCCTCTGTGCATGCAACTTGATTTGTAAAGAAAGAAAGAATTGCCATTAGTAAGCATGTACAATTTCTTGGCAAACTATAATAGAGATTTCAGTACTCTAGCTGCTTAAGAATATGACTGGAGAATACTTAAGAATTATACTAAAAAAAATTAATAGTTGGTTTAAAAAAAAGACCTTAATAACGTTCTCCTGTTCAATTAAAAACACATTTTAAAGTTGGATTTAAGTAGTGCTCTCAACAGCTGCAAACCACTGTACAACAGTGTGCAGATTACTTGATCATCATTGTTTCTGTGGCATAGCTAGTACTTAAGACAGCCTAAGAAATAAAATAAAAACAATAAAAAACCCACAAACCCAAACAAACAAACACTAAAAGAATAGTTATCTTCAAATGTTATCTACCACTAATGTGCTGTAGAAGCTCCATTAAAACTTCTTAATCATATGGATGTCTAGTAACTTTTCTGTACTTCATTTATTTTGCAAGGGGGGAGGTGCTGGCTTAAAAATTGATTATCTACAGACTTGGGTAGTTCTAGCATTACCATAGGTTGAATCTTTATTAGAAAGTTTTAAAAAGTGAACTGCACTAACAAAATGGAATTTTATAAACGATATACATTTTGGGAATCTGCATTCTACTGTCTCTCAGTGAAGACTGGACTCTCTGAGAACCTAATGATCTTTCTGAAAACAGAATTTGTGTTGAGGGCAGGGGGAATTAATATAAATTGTATTTTCAGAAACTTAGGCATTGTCAGTGACACTAAGTTTGACTTTAAAATTTGAGTGTATATTTAGAGGCTTTTGTCTCATGGAAATAGTGTATAGATTCAGTTGTAATTGTGTGGGAGTTCATGAATCCTTAAGGAAGTAGTTTGTTTGAAGTACATTTTGCCTTTTCAGATATACCGAGCTGAAGGAGAACTTTGTCAGGGGAATTTTTGTAGCCTTGATGAAGTTTACTTACAGATGTTGAACTGTTTCTTCCATATGGACTTAATCTTAATCACTATTTGCTTGCTTAGTGTATTGTTACCCAGGAGATTCTTAAATTCGGATTCGGTGTCCTGTAATGAACAATGTGCTCCTTCAAGATCTCTTCACCTGTGTATTTCCTGTATGCGTCCCCCTTGGGTGTTTGGTTTTTTGTGGGGTTTTTTTTTTTGGTAACAAACCCAAAAGTTTGCTGCCAGGGAGGAAGAGCTGTACTAAGTTGTGTTTTGGTAACAGTCTTCCTTGGGTGGACCTGAGAGGCAGGACAGTAGAAAACTGAGGCTGCTGTATGTTTTCTCTGAACAGAGAACAACCTACAGTTTTTCCTCCGAGTAGCTCTGCATTGCTACCTGTGGTGTTCTCCTAGGAATGCCACACTTTCAGATTTTATTTGCTGTATAACAATGTGGTACAGAAGTTCACAAGATTTGTTAGTCTTGTGTAGTGTTCTTCCTTTATACAGGTAGTTTTTACTCTTCTATGCCACAATTGATTTTTTTTACCCTTATTCTGACTTTCAACATAGTTTTTTTAAAATTTAAAGCATGTTAAATTTTCAGGATGGAAGATGTACAAATGTTTTTTTTCCTAAAATATAAAAAATAGTTTGGGGTTTTGGGGATTTTTTTTTTTTTCTTTTTTTTTTTTTTGGTGGCTGTTCCTTGATGTGTATGGGTTTTGTTTTGTTGTTTTGTTGTTTGGTTTCTTTTTACTTTGCTGACTTAATATTTGGCAGGATGGAGTTTTCAAGATGAATCTTTCTCCTGATGGAGCTCTTCTGGCAGCTATTCATTTCTCAGGAAAACTGACGATTTGGTCTATTCCATCTCTCAGACAGCAAGGAGAATGGGATCAAACTGATCAGGTAAGAAATATATAGATATTTAGAAACTTGCAGTATATATCTTAATCCTCTGGAGATGCATTTTCCTAGATGAGAGTAGTTCAGCTAACTGTGCTTTAGCTACATACTGTCTTTCCCGTCAACTCCCTATTTTTCAAGAGCCCTATATTTACAATAATCTTTCTATGTTTTAACCGTGAGCCTTAAACTTTAAAATTTAAGAAAAAGAAAAAGTTACGTTGCAGTGAATTTTTCATGAGGCATTTTGGTGCCAAGGGGATAACACTGGTAGAGGTAGGCTGAAATGTTATTTTGAAATGTAAGTGGAGGCCAACACGGGTAACTTAGCTTGAATGATTGAATTCTGCTGGACGTCTAATGTGTTCATCTATCCCTCCCTCAAAATTTACCTTACCTTCTGTCACATAACGCCCCAGAACAGTTTGTTCATCAGATTGGTATTACTAAGTCACATGCTTTCTACAGGAGTTGTTTGCAAAACTAAGTAGAGGAACTTATGTTAGGAATTGCCCAGACACTCGCAAACTTTCATGTGGCTAACCTGAATTTAAACACTGGGAATTTAAAACTAATTAGTTTTCAAAAAAACTTCTAAATAACTAGTACACTGTCTGGGTAAACATAACACTTAATTTTCATGAGGAAAATATATATTCATTTTGAAAAGTGACAAATCTGAAATGATGCACACTAATATGTGAACTATTCTGGTTTTACTCCCATTAATTACTTGACTAATTGTCCTGGTTTTGGCTGTGACAGAGTTAATTTTCTTCTTAATAACTGGTATAGTGCTGAGTTTCAGATTTAGTATGAGAATAATGTTGGTAACACAGTGATGTTTTTAGTTGTTGCTAAGTAGTGCTTGTAGTTGTAATGCTTATACTCAGTCTGCCTTGGCCAGTCTCTCAGAGGACCCTTCTGTGGTGGGGTTGCTGAGGGTTGAAGAACAACAGGTGCCGATCGCTACCACAACAGTGCACCGGCGGCAATATCGCACCAACCGAGACTCCCTGATCCCCATCCCTGAGCTGATTTGTTGGCTGGAGAGCCAAGGAGTGATCAGCAAGACCCGCTCACCCTTTAGCAGTCCCATATGGCCAGTGCAAAAGTTGAAGTGGAGACTGACAGTAGGCTATCGTGGCCTGAATGAAGTCATGCTGACACGGAAACATGGGTGTGGTATTGTGTAGCTTAAGTTTTGGTGGTTCTAGGTAAGCAGTTGGATCTGATTAGGCTGTACTGGCTGTGAAACTGTTCTGTGTCTGGCTGGCATGGAGCTTTTTTTCTTCATAGCAGCCTGTATAGTGCTGGGTTTTGGACTTGTGACCAAAACAGTGTTCATAACACACCAGTGTTTTAGTTACTGCTCAGTAGTGCTTCCACAGCTTCAAGGTCTTCTCTGTTTCTCACTGTTGTTTCCCCAATGAGTAGTTTAGGGGAGTACAATAATCTGGGAGGGGACACAGCCTGGACAGCTGACCCCAACTGGAGAAGGACTATCCGTGCTGTATGACATTGTGATCAAGCAGTAAAAACAGAGCCGCGGGAGGTGTTGGGAACGTAGCCATGGCTTAGCGACTGAGTGGGCACCAGTCCGCTTGTGGGAGATGATGGACGATTGCCTTTGCATCACTTGTTTCTTGTTTGTTCCCCCCCGCCCCCCCTTTCGTTTGCTTACTAAACTGTCTTTCTCTTGACGCGTGGCTGTTCTTGCTTTTGCTGTCCCTATGCTGTCCCACTGGGCAGGGGAGCGAGCAAGCGGCTGTGTGGTGCTCAACTGCTGGCAACCCTCCACAGAAATGTAGTTCCAAGCTTATTTAGGAAAGTACTTTTAAAAAACAAAAAATGAACAAAAGTTGTGCTCCAGTATTGGGAAAAGCATTGTGTGTATATATTCATATCTAGCTAGCTATATCTATTTTTAATGTACGCTTAAGATTTTTGTGAGAATACAGATTTTGCTCAAGGATGTTTACAGTGAATTGTTGTATTTTTTCTTTGTTTTTAACAATAATGAGTATGTATTCCAAAGCTGTTTTCATGACTTTATCATTTAGTGAGGGTGATATACAGGAGTATTCAGTATTTGACAGTTTTCAGAATGGTTTTTATAGGTGAAACTAGTGTCCAAGTATAATGTATATTTTCATAATATGTGCCGTTCCTACTTAATTGTCACCCAAATGTATTTGTTAAATTAACTTAAAGTGGCCTCATGTTTACTTTTAATTAGTAGACCCTTCTCTTTCTATTAAAATACTGCGTCTGAAAATCACTTTCTGCTTGACCCAAAACAGCTTCGGTTGTCTGAGCTGTGCAATCTACCTCTACTTCCCTTGCATTGCAGTTCTACTTCCCTTGTGTTGCAGTTAGGGGCAGGATTACTGTCATATGTATTTCTGCAGTTACCATGTATTCCGATACTACTAAATAAAGTTAAAAAAACCAATATAGCAACAGCCTACTAATTCTAAATGTTGCAGTGCGTCATTAAATAATGCTGCTTCTCTTGTTGCACTAGTCTTGAAAGAGGCTTTATAATTATGAAAATGACCCGAGTACCTGTACCAGGCTGGTACTCAGGAACACTACACGGAGCAAACAGGAGAACTCTTTTGGGGATTCTTCTTTTATATGTTTGCAGTCCTATATATAGACGTGAAAAGCAAACACTTGGTGGGCTTCTGATTGCTGGAGAGCCTTTACTTCAGAAATCTTTAGGATATGATTACTTTTTAATGCTGACTAGGCCAGGTCTGATGGTACTCTTGTTTTCTAATGTGATGTTTTAGGAACCCAGAAGTCTATTTTGCTATGAATTTTTAATTTTTTTTTTTTATTTAACTGTCTGGAGAAAAGTACAATGTCACTACAGCAGCTGTATGTTTTACGTTCAGGAAAAGTTTGAATTTATGGGGAGTGTTTTCACTGAAAAATGAGTGGGTCAGCAATAGAGTAAATAAACAGATTGTCTGTGTTACAAAGATTTGCCTGTATATAATCCTTTTTTTGTCTTGCACTTCTTTGTTTTTTGTTTTTTCAGCCTGGTTATGATGAGATCAACCCAGACTGGAAACTCTCCAGTGAAAAAAGAAAGAAAATAAAAGGTATGTGGTACATGCAGATCATTATTTTATACCATTGTGTAGATAAAAATATTTACACAAATATACAAAGACCTGAAATAGCTTAAATCTCAATTAGAATAGCTGCCAAAACTGTATGTATGATTTGAATTTGTAGCATGGCCTTGCTAAATGGTGTCACGATAGTTTTTTTTTTTTTTTTTTTTTTTTTTTTTTTTTTTTAAAATCCTTTTTTAGAATTTTTTTTTTAGCCATAATCGTAAATAAGATGATACTTCAGTTAGTACAGGACTTCATTTATTATTGATCATGTCATTATGACTCTGCAGAATGCTGAACGTTCAGCAGATGCTTCAGCTTGTATCAGAAGCCACTGCATCATAATATTGTGGGTAACACATTATTAGAGTCCATATCTGAAACCTAAACTTACCTTTACCTTTTATTTCTATGAATGTCTAATAAATCTTGAAAGTTAACATTATTTAAAGATATTAGTTTAAAATTCTAAACCAAAAGGGCTTTGTTTCCTCTTGTCTGGATTTGCCTCGTCAGACACTATTCTTTTCCCAAAGTTCAGGCCACCATGTATGGCCATTTATCACCTGGCTATTGCATGGCTCTGCCAGCAGTGCAGAGAGAATAGCTATTCCACGACCCATTTGCTACTGCTTGTCTACATCTATGTTATTAAAAGATCTCTGTTTCTTTCTGCTGTTTTTCTTGGTGATTCTCTCTTTGGGTTAACTCATCTGACCTTTATGGGTAGGCTGCCGATTAAGCACTGAAGTGGCAGAAGAGTGATAAGCTGATCTGTTTCTCAGTGCTGTTTGGGGAAAGATTGTGTTTGTCAGGGAGGTCAGAAATGACCCTGTAGTGATCTCACTGAGCTAACTCTCTGGTGAACATTTTGCCCCCAACATCCAGTTACCATAATGAAGACAGTCTTAAAAATGACACAGCTTCCATCCCTAGTCATGGTGACTTCTTTTTGTTTGTTTTATTGGTTTAATTTTTTTAACGTCATTTTGTAGGGTGTTTCAGGAGCCATGTTCATAGTTGTCACTTGTCCTCAAAAGCAGTGTAACCTTTTCTGATTTTCATCAATACTATTTTGTTGCCAGAGAGACTTGGTCAGTGATGGCTGGGGAAGTATTGAAATATCTTTATTAAATATTTAAAATTTTTTATATTTTGTGCAAGTAAATGAATTTACAGTGAATTCTTTTTCCAAATAATAGTAAAAAATAATTACATCCATGATTAACTGATTTTTTTTTTTTTCTATTCAATAGCTTTATTTAATGGAGAACTCATTTACTAAAACATAATTGATCTAAAATACAAACGTAATGAAACAAGGATGCATATACAATAATAAATGTTTGTTAAATTAGGCCGTCAGGTGAAATCTCTTGGTAATTGAAGGCACTTCTGTTGTTCCCTGGTGTTTAAAGTTATCTTTCTTTGTACGGTGCATTCTTATTTATTTGTTTGTTTATTTTAGATAAAGAATCCTACTACCCATTGATAGATGTAAATTGGTGGGCTGGTAATTCTGTCATCCTGGCTCGCTGCTCTGGTGCATTGACTGTGTCATCAGTCAAGACATTAAGAAATTTGCTGGGAAAGTCATGTGAATGGTTTGAGAGTTCTCCTCAGGTCACTTCAGCTCACGATGGAGGATTTCTAAGTCTGGAGGTGAGGAATGTGCATAAGCAGATATCTTTCTAGAATGCAGTAGAAACAGTTTGCTTTCGAATATGTAATCCTAAGGGTGTTGTTTGTATGGTGTGGTTAAAAAAAAAACCATAAAAGTTATTATTAGTAATAGGAAACAAAATCACTTTTTCTTTATCTCTAGATAGGTATTGCAGGGAAATTCTGAACTTGCTGCAACTTAACTGTCTTAATAAAAACTTCATTGTCAAATAACTTCTGGAGAGTAGAAGCAAAACTCCCGGAAGGCTGTGCCTGAATGAGAGGAATCTTGCTGCAGCAAACAGTTTGTGTTGACAGTTTTCACTGCTTTGTATGTTAGCGCATTTGAAGAATACTGCAAGCATCCCTCTCCTGTTTTGAAACAGATGCCTCTTACAGAGGGAGTATATTTAAAAGAAAGGAGGAACACATTTAAATTAGGACAAAACCATGTAAGAGAGATATATTTTTGTTCATCTTTAGTGGGATTCCAGGAGGGAGTAGAACATAAGGAAGTTAACCAGGAATTTTCTTTGAAACTAAGAAAATTACTCTTTTCCTAAAGCTTACATTGAAATAGGTCTGAAATATCTTAAAAGTTTAAAATTTATCAGGCTATCTCAATATGTACCAAAGCTTGCATGTATGTTTTTGGAAAGGTTTATTGTTCTGGAAATAAGATAGAGCCAGTGACTGGCATATTACAGCCTAAGGATGTAGTCTGAGATGACATTTGCACCGAACAGAAAATCTTGCTTTGCATAGCTAAGAGTTGAAACACTGATGTACGCTGCAGTAAGCTGTGTAACAGTGTACGAAGATGTCTCCATAGTTCTGTCCTGTCTGGGGTGGTGTAGGACGTTTAGTGTAATAGCGGGTCACTGTTAAGAAGCCTTCACCAGTAGGTAAGGGATGATCTCTCTAGGAGACAGATGCAGTCAGGGTTTGTGGGCATGTTAAGCAAGCTGAGAAATAAAGGGTTTAAAGGAGAAAGGGAGGAAGGATGTTGATTCTGAAATCTGAAGTACTGCAAGTGGAGATGTACTCAATTCTCACCGAACTGACGTGTACTAGGTGGATGCTTCATATTCATATTTTTCTGTGCAGTGTGAGATAAAACTTGTTCCAAAAAGATTACGCTTGGAGAGCAGGCCTGGTGATGAAGATGAGGGAGAAGATGACTCTGACTCAGATGATGAAACTTCTGCTAAGGACAGATACTTCAGCTACCTAAAGCAAGGCCTGTACTTTGTGACAGAAATGGAACGATTTGCTCCTCCACGGAAACGTCCACGTACTATCACCAAGAATTTCCGTCTTGTCAGTTTAAGATCCACAACTCCAGAGGAACTGTACCAGAGAAAAGTAAGTATGGAAGGAAAGGTCATATATCTCTTTATCAGCTTTATTTAGAAAGAACTTTTAATTTTGCTTTCAATTCTTGTTATATTAACAGAAGGATTTAGGCACACATTTCTTAGTTGACAGTTGTTTTAGTAGTTTTAGTACTGTGTTACCTAATTGAAGGGATCATTGTTTAAAACTAGCTTTATAATAATTCAAATGAGATTGTTATAAATGATTTAGTCCCAAACAGGATTCCAACTCAAATTTACAATTTATTAAGCGAATAGAGGCAAGCAAACAGCGCTGGGTGCGCCGGGAGTCTCTGCTCCACCACGACGCACGCGGTACAGCTCCTGTTCCGGGTTTATGTCCTGTCCGTTAATACATATTCATGAACAGGCGTGTCTTCTAATACATATTCATGAATAGGCGTGTCGTCTAATACATATTAATGAACAGGCGTGCCTTCTTCAGCGCATGCCCTCTTCTCCTGCTAGAGTCTTCTCGAATCTTCCTCGGCGTGCCCCTAGGATGACCCCAAACCCTATGCGTGCACTTTCTTTACACAATACTATGCGGTCAGTGGTCAAACTGGTTTGAGCTGATATACCAGCAAAGTAGTTTAACTTTCTCCTGTAAAATACCCCTTTTTATGGTGCAGGAGAAATCCATAAAAGTACAGAAGATTACACTTCATCACACGAATCAAATGAACATATTTCACAAGATGATGTTTGCAGGTCACTGAGGAGACACTGTGCATCATTAGCTTGGCCAGACTTGGATGTGTACTCGTGTGAGTGTTTACAAACAACGAAAGACCTGGCAAATATATTAAATGAAATTAGTTTAGCATGTTATTGGCCAGGGAATGGGTTAATTTATGCTCTGATGTGAACGTAGTTTACTTGCCTGTTTTTTCAGGTGTACATACAAATTAGGCCTGTGACTCACTCTTATGGAACAGATACTTCTTCATTTTTAAGACTGTTCTAGGCAGTACTTTGTCTAGGCCATTTCAATTGTTCTGATGGCAAACGAACCCACTCTATAGCTGTTAGAGTTTCCAGGGAGTGCTGATGTCATACTGGTTACCTAAATAACCTCTTCCTTTTTCTTGAGGAAAAATCTCTAATTTTCTGGAGGTGTCCATCAGATCAAGTCCTACTCACCTGTATCTTGAAACATTCTCTTTCCTACCTCCATAAGCATTACCGATAGTAATTATACCTCTACCTGTTTCAACACACAGAATTAATAATTGATTGTTTAATATGGAAATCAGTTTACTTTCTTTTTCATGTGCTTTCTTTTTAGATTGATAATGAAGAATATGGGGAAGCTTTGTCTTTGGCTCAAACATACGGCCTTGATTCTGATCTTGTGTATCAAAGGCAGTGGAGGAAGTCGGCTGTTAACGTTGCTTCAATTCAAGACTACTTGGTGGGTTTGTTTTTTGTGACTTTTAGGCTTTCTTATCAGAATGGCTGCGTTACATTTACAGAAGCTGAATTCTCAATTTTTTTCTAATTTATGCACCATAAATTGGTGGCAATTTGGAGAGCTGTCCTGCAAATTCCTTTTCATGTCATGTGGAAGAGAGTGATCTTGTTAATTTAACTGAAGGCCTAATCTGGAGACTGTGGAAGTTTAATGTCAATCTTTAAAGTATCTTCAAACTTCTGTTAACAGGAGCTTGCTTTCTCTGGTGTAATCTCTCCCTGACACACAGCAGTAGATTGTTGCCTGGAAAACTAATAATAATAAATGGAAATATAAAGCATTTAAATAACTTCCAAGTATTTTAGAAAATTAAATAAGAAGGTAAAGTTGGTATCCAGTAGCTATATAGCAAAGTTTGAATAACATGATTTGCAGTGAAATCTGCTACCTGTACCTGGAGCTTTTCAGTAGAATCCAACATGGGGTTTTTTGGCTTAGAAGAAAGACTTGGAACTCAGTAGACAAGCGTGGTCAAAGCTGCACAACCTAATGGTGATATCGGGGAAGGTCTTCCAAGAGATGAAGAGAAATATCGTTTAATTTTTGTTGCCCCCCTTTTTTTTTCAAGTCAGATACTAATTGAATGTCAAAATAAGATTTGTACAAGTAGCTGTTCTCCATGTGCTGTGTGATCTCAACTGTAAGATCAGCATATAAGGCCAATAATATTTTGTGACTCTAGTGTGTCTTTTCTGTTACAGAATCCTATTGGCATGTGGAGGGGTTGGTACTGAAAATTACTCTAGTGCTATTGTGGAATACACTTCGTTTATAAAACCTGCGTTTTAGCCCCAAAACATCACATTTTATTTAGTGTAAGGAGGAGTGATACTAATTAGGGAATACAAATAACAACTTCTGTTCCAGTTGTGAAAATTCTGCTAAATCATTTGGCATTTCTGTGCCCTTTTCAGCCACATACACTCTGAGGCAATTATGTTTTCTGCATTCTCACCTCTTTTGTTGGTTCACATTGTTAGTCATCAGATTAACTCAAAATTTTCTTAAATTGAAGAAACACATTAGAAGTTTTTAATATCTCTGGTTTCATTGCTTTGGACTGAAGCATATAACATTCTATCTATGCTCTTGGACAGAGCAAAATTAAGAAGCGTGCATGGGTTCTTCATGAGTGCTTGGAAAGAGTTCCGGAGAACGTGGATGCTGCTAAGAAGCTGCTTCAGTACGGCTTGAAAGGCACAGACTTGGAGGCTCTTGTGGCCATAGGAAAAGGAGAAGATGGTGGCAGGTTTGGGAAGACTGTGTTTGTTTCTTTGTTTTTCTTTTTAAAGAATGGTATATGAAGTCTTTTCTAATAATTTGTGGTTTGTTGTTTTTTTTACCAACCACTAACAAAAATATTAAGATGCTTTTGCAGGACATAAAGAAAGGTAATGCTTTGAATCAAACTATTCTAAAGATGTTCACAAGGTACCTATTCTCATTTTACCTTTGTAAAAAGTAAAATCACTATTTACCTTCTAATGCATTTTTCCCCTCTTCTCTGGATGCCCTCTATTTTCATATGCTCTCTCATCATAGAGAACTTCTGATGTCACTGTTGTTCTGTGAGAACCTGTTTCTGATGCCTCTTGTGGAAGCTGCAACTACCACTATAAAGGCATTTTTTGTATGTCTTAATTGTTGTAACAATCTTCTGTTGTTCAAGTGGAGATGGAAACAAAGCAAAACACAGTGGGTCAGTGGGGAAAATACATGCAGAGAGTTCTCAGTTACTGATGGTAGAGATAGAAGCAGCTGTTCTTTCTTCGTGCAGTTCTCTGTTACCACTCTATGCTGTACAGTTGCTCCCACTGCTACCTGTGGAATTTAGAAACTTTTATCAGCCTTCATAGCTATGTGGTTGGTGATTTCCTTTTTTTGGTTTGTTTTAGGGAGTGGGTGGAAACAAGATGATGCCTCTTGTTGGCCTGTGATGAACAGCAAAACTCAGTATTATCTTCTTCTATAAAAGTTTAGATTTTTAGTCAAGACATAAATGGAAAGCTGTGTTAGTGTGTTTTTAATAAAAAATTAGCTTGTTTTATCTTGTTTTTTTAATCAACATTGATTAAATTGTTGATTTTGTCTTCCAGGTTTATCTTACCGGGAGAGGTGGACCTTGACATTCCCTATGAAGACTTTTTGTCATCAGATGAAGAAATGGATACTAGAAAGGAACAAGAGGCCAAGAAGCGTCAAGAACTGCTATTATCAGTAAACTTTTCAAAGTAAATGAAATGTTAAGCCATGTTTTATTCAGAGTTATAGGTTTATTATAAATACACAGTTGCAAGAATATAATTACTCTCATGTATGTTATTCCTAATAGGAAAGCTTTTAAGTTTTAATTGGCATTATATTGTGTCCAAGTTCTTGGTTTACTTAATTTCTTGATATATTCCAGTGCACAAAGTCATTAAAATGTTGTAACCGTTGTCTTCATATGCACATGATGTACAATATGAATTGCAAGCATGAAAATTCCTGTTCTGAACACAGGCTGACACTGGAACAAAAAGAACTCTGCCGTAGCAGGCTGAAGTTGTTAACTTACCTTGATCGCCTTGAAACGTATGAGGTGAGGACACTTGGTAACTGGCTACAGTTCTTTTGAGTTCTTATTCCACAGGTGTTCCTGTAACATTTTCATCACATCATATCTTTTTTGTTATATATTGTAGTATTAATGTTTATAGTCTTCCTGAAATGCTACAGTCTCTCACTTGAGAAAAGTAAGCGGTTTTCTGTTCAAGCTACTGTGTTTCTCCTGCTTTACTGTTGCAAATGGACAGCTTCTATTCCAGTGTTGAGAGGTATAGTTGGGCAGCAGCCTGCTTTGAACATAACTATGTCTGCAGGGAATTAAGTTATGCAACAACATGGGATGTGGAGTTCGTGCAGGATTACTATTATTTACTTCTGCCAGTCTAATTAGCAAGTTCTATTCAGATTATCTAATGAATCTTTCTTCCATGAGTTTACTGAAATGAGTTTTTGGAATGTCAAACTGTATTTTGCTTAGTTTTTGAATTTTAGCTTTGCAGTTGGCACTAGTCACATAATGACTTTTATCACATCTGTTTGTAAACTAATGTTGTCTAAACCCTTATTAAAATAAGGTAGAGAATTGTCTTAGCTTATCAATCAAAAATGCATCTGTTTTTTCCCATACTGAAACAAATAAAAAACAGCAGCATGCTTTTCCACATATATCCCATGCTTATTCATCCTAAGATAAAGAAATATGTAGGCTTTTTGATACTTTTGATGATCGTATATAAAACCCAATCTTTTATAATTTTTTTTTTCTCTTTCTTTTAAGGAGATCCTTGGAGGGCCTCATGCAGCTGAACAGCACTATGATGGTGAATTCTTCAAGAAGTTCAGAAATCAGAATATTGTACTTTCAGCAAGAACTTATGCTCGGGTATTAATATTTATTTTGCTAGAATGTAATTTTTATTTGGTATTTCTCTTTGCACTTAAATGCATTCCTCCCTCACCTCTCTTGAACTTGGTTGAATCTCAATGAAAATTTAAGAGATGGGGGGTATATTTGTTTGATTGTAAATAAATAAATGCCGTGACCCTGAGCTACTTTATTGCTAAAGAAAATTTTAAAATTAAATGTTTGTTGCGTGACCTAAGCTTACATTTCTTGCTTATTTTTAGTTTAAATCAGTCTTAAACTAGTTCTGCAACTTAATGTTTTTCTCTTTAGGAAAGCAATGTCAGAGCCCTGGAAATTTTGTTCACTTTTCATGGATCAGCATTACTTCCACACAGACAGGCAATTCTCTCCAATTTTCCAGAGACTACTTCACCACATGAGTATGCTTTCTTGTTGCCTGAAGCTTGGTAAGGATGCATCAATCGATATCAACTAGAAAAAAAAGATGTTTAGGTTAATCCTTACATTAGTTTCCATATGTGGCAATCTGCTGTTGGTAATTATCTGGATTCAAGAGAGCAGCTTTGTCTTTATGTACTTGACCAGTCTTCATTTTCTGCTTTAGTTTGTGCCATTCGTGAAAGCTTTTTTGGTCTCTTTTGGTTATTATCAGGAAAGTGGGGACTTTAAATGTTCTTGCCTCCATTACACATAAGAGGAAGCATGGACTTTTCTGAGCTGAAACTGCCCAAATTTTCACAGGTGTAAATACAAATCTGTAATTGGTTTGTAACAACAGCCAGTGTTAGGAAATTAATAATACAAGTGTTTAGCTCCCTGGAAACAATTATGTTTTTCTGGATTTGTTTTGAAATGTAATTTAATATTTAAGCAGTCACTAACTTCAAAATCATAAATCTTCTTGTCACTGATTCTTACGCAGCTTGATAAGGTAGAATTATGGACAGCTTTAAATCCAGACATTCCTACTCTTTCATTTCAGCATAAAATGTGAGTTTACTGTCAATTTTGGTATAAATTTTCATAAAGGAGTCTTTCTTGAACATCATAATAATGTTCTGTATATTAATTAAAAGAATTTTTTACTGCTAGAGTGTTTCTTTCAAACACTTCAATTATGAAATTAGTTTTGAAGCTTGTTGTTCAGTGCCCATAAAGAACTGGGGAGATTTCATTATTTAATGTTTTACAATAGGACTTTGAAGCCTTACTTCAGAGGGATGGTTTTTGGAATAGCTAATAGTATTTTTTATTTTGTAGTCTTCCAGCATTTTAGTTAAGTTTTTCAGTTCAAAGTTTTAACAGTCCCATTTGGATACTTCTCCGTCTAGAGGAGTTTATTTTAATTCATCAAGTTCTTCCCCTGACATTTTTCCCAGCTTATAATAGTTACCACTTTTGTCCTTCCTGAGCAGGAGTTAGTCTTTATTTCATAATATCTAATACTTACGAGTACCCTTTGTATTGTGTTGGTAGTATTAGGAACACTTTTAGTTATTTAGTTATCGTCTGAAAACACTTGTTTTGTACTTTTCTTTAATGTAATGGTTAGGACCATGAAGAGAAATTATTGTAGAGTTTATATATAAAATTGGTAAAATATATTCCAGTTTTTCTCTTTTGGTAAGATTTATGTGAGAGGGAGGGAAGAAGGGTCTTCTTAAATGTGGTTATAATATTTTGTTGGTGTTCATAAACCCCTTCTTTCTGAAGGGTTGTTTGTTCTCAGTTTTGGTTTTTATTTTGTTGTTGTGGCTGGTTGGGTTGGTTAAGAAACTGACTTTTGTGCCGAGAGGCAAAATGACAGTTAAAATAAAACATTTCACCAGTGATCTGGTAGTAAAGATGTGAAGTTATGGGTTAAGAACTTAGTTTTGCCTGATCATGAAAAATGGAAGTACGTAGTTTGAATCTTTATTCCCATGTCAGACAGAGCTTTCCAGAGCTAGGATGAGGTATGCGCATGTTCGCTTTTTTTTTTCAGGTTACAGAGCAGATAATACTGTATGTCCTTGAAGTGTTTGTCTTTGGACAACTACAAAACGGGGATGAGAGCAAATCCTATATACTTATAAAAATACACTGTATATTTGACCTATCCTTTTTCTAAAACTGTTTCCCTGTTACAAAACTTTAATTACTCACCTAGTATTGCTAAATATACTCCCTAAAACTCTATTTTATTAATGTAATAGAATTAAATATGTATTGATGAAAATCTGTTAATGAGAATAATATTCTAATGAAATACACTTAAGTTGTACAAAGTAACACTGTCTTCTTAATTTAATTTTTTTTTAAATGGGATGAGTCTTCCCTCAGTCCAAATAGCTTCAGCTTCTCACAGTTCTTTTTTCATGTGAATCAAAATGAGTCCATGTGAATCAACGAGAAATGAAGTTCTTTGTCATTTTGAGTGAGTTGATTTGGCCTTTTATAGTTCTAATAATTATTTTTTAAATGGTTTATTAGTATTAATAGAATTATTGGCATTCTGTAGATATGTAGTTGTTATAAAATCCAGTTTAAATGTGTGCTATCTAGTTTTCTTCTCTATAGAACACAGTATGTAGACATTATTGCCTTAAATTAGCTGATTGAGCAAGGTTATGATACAACTTGTGAAACTATTTTAAAATTATGTAGGAATTAAAAGTTGCAGTTACTGACTAATTAATAAACTTGTGAACAAAAGGAAAATATTGCAAAAATATAAACCCCAATGTTTTAATTGGCAGAAAAAAATGTCTGCAGCATTGTGACTTAGTGTTTCTTTAGCTTAAGCAGGTTGTAATTACAGTATTCTTGGGATAAGGGATGAGAATGATTCAACCTGTCCTCATGAACTTTGGCTCTAGAAAATTCTTGTGAAGGATTCTGAGTCAGGAAATTACTTAGGCTGGTTTTCCTTTTTAAAATTTAACACTTGTTGCAATTATGAAATGGATAGCAGAAGGATTTTCTACTTTCAGCTGCAAAAAAGACATTAGCTCATTGTTTTTCTGAAAATTCAAAGCCATAATTTTCTGTACCAAGAGATTCCAATAGGGTGATCGACTTGCTGTGGTGCACTTGATGAGACCTCCAACACGGACCAGCTGCATGGTAGTGCCCATGTTAAGGCCTCGTTGGCCTTGCTTGAAGAACACCTTGTTCGTGCCTTCGCTGCTTGACCTCCTGCAGCTCAGACCTCTTGCTGAGCAGTGTGCAGCTCTGGAGGCAGAGAAGATTTTCGTGGAGGAAAAAAATACTGTAGTTTGTCTTCTAGGTCTTCATATATATGGCCCAGTGATGTGTAGGATGAAGTGCTGCTGGGAGTTGACCATATTGTGTCTGTGTATGTGGAGCACTTTACATGATAAGAGGGATGATTCTCAGAGCTCTCTGAGGTGACGTCTATCCTTATGGAATTTCACCACATTGTTCTGTGTTCTTAGTTCTTCCATCTATAGAGGAATCTGGCTGAGGAAAAACTTGAGATTATAGAGCAGGCACTGCCTTATTCATGTGTGAAACGGGTGGAGTGGGACAAATAGGCACCGCTGGCTAATGCCAAGGCAAAAGCATTGAAACACAATTGCTTTCTGTACAACACGGCCAACACGAATGCGTATAGAAGGTGCTGTAGCTGAAGGATTTCATTACCTATGAGAAATGTTTTTGTAAAGGTTCCATTATAACTGCCATTTCCTTTTATCTGGAGCCTCCAGTTCAAGCTGCAGATAGTAAATTCACCTAGTGAAAAAAAGTCTTGTTTTGCTGGTGCGTTCCGTAGGCATAAACCAGTTGTTTTTCTTGTTACTGGCACATGTAGTCTACATTAGGATGGCATTTAGAGGCCAGTGTCACAAAAATTTTAAGGTCTTATCAGTCAAGGAAGAGCTGGCATAACAAATGGGGAAAAAAAGAATTGGAAAGAGAAGAATGGGGAAAAATAGAAGAATTTCTTTTTTTTCTGTCTTCTGTGACAGGTTGTTAGGAAATACGTACCTTTTTTTCCCCCCATGTATCTGCTTGTAAAGTCTCAAGTGGTAGATACCCTTTTGTTTCTTGTTTTTTGGCACATGTTTTGTAGCTTAGCATCTTTAGGGGTCGCTCTCAGAACTGTTCAGGAGGAGGTTTGTAATGTCTGAGCAGAGGATTTATGTCTTCATGAGACTCTTGAAAAGGACTGCAAGTTATATAAACTCAACACCTCCCGGAGCTGAGAAGGAATCTGAAATACTAAGATGCATCGGTGGCTCTGTATGCCTGTTGGCTTCAAATTGGTATTGTGATAGACTGACATTACTCAGTTATGTGTTTTTGCAGACTTGCAATTGTAATGTTTTCCTACTTCTTTTTGTATTATTTCTCAGCATCTTTTATAATTGATGACTCCTGAACCTCTGCTGTCTCTTAGTCATTGGGATTCATGCACCTTCTCAAAGATCCATCAGATGCACAGACTTCATCGGTTAAGACAACTAGAGTGAAGGTGGTAAGAGTTTAGGTATTCAAAGGAGATGATAGCTCTTTCTATTCTTTATTTTAATAGCTATAGCTAGCATTCTTAGTAAGACTGTTGCCTTCAGGTTTTTAAAGGTGATCTCAGAGGAAAATAATGCTTTACCACCATTATAAATACATAACTGGAGTCTTTTTCCTTTTCTTTTAATTTTCTTATCCTTTTTGCTACATTTAACTGCTATATTGCAACATTACCGCTCGCATTTTAAACTCACAGAAGTTGGGAAATTCAAATGTATGGTTCCCTCAACAGCCATAAGTCTGCTATATTGCACATTACACTAGTAGTAAAAATCTTCCCTCTAAGATAGCAACTTTTTGTGTGTTTCTGCTTTTTTACTCCTTAACTTTCTCAAATACTGATTTTCAGTCATGGCTTAAAGTGAATTTTTACTGGAGAGTTGTGGATGAACTCCATTTGCTGGATGACCTGGGGGTGGGAGTGCAAATATCTTCTGAAAACTTAGTGAAGCTTTTAAAACCTGAAAATTTCCACATAGTAGACTCTCATCGATGAATAGATAAATACTACACAATTAAACTAAGAGGTTCATAAACAGTTAACTTTGCCTTTCCATAATGATATCTTCTCCTGAACTAGGTTTTTAGTTATTGCCTGTGGCACTGCAGTTTCAATATGGCTCTTACAGCTTCATCTCTTCTCTTCTTAGTATGTTTATGTAAATAGGTTTGATGACTAAATGTCTGCAGAACTGTCTAATATATAGTCCTCATTTTTTTTTAATTAGTTTTTCCTCTTTTCTTATGAAGCTGAGCTGCTTTTGTTTAATGTGGTGTAGTTCAGAAGTGTTCATGTTAAAAGAATTAATCCCATGGTCAGTTCCTTTTGTTTGTTTGTTTTAATTCATTTGTATAGTGCTACAGTGAAAGAAATAAGAAGGGCCCGATGTTTTATATGCATTTCTTTGCACTAAGG